GCTGTGACCCTGGGGAAGGACGGGGGATCAGGTCTTCACGCAGGGCCGTATGGCTGATTTGCATTGCAAGATGTAATGGGAATAACCAGAGATCAGTGCATCCAATAGACTGACGGAGCCCCACCCTTGGGGTTCATTTGCATACGAGCCAGTCTCAGCCCTGCCCCTCATGGTTTTAAAGGTGCCTGGAGGGTTGCCCAGAGCCAGGGCTCAAGCTGCAAACAGGCATAAGCAGAGCTGCCAAATCGGGCTCCTTCCTGTCCACCTCCATCTCCTCCCTGCACCATGGCCCAGTCCACCCTGACTCTCTGTGTCCTGGGGCTTTTCCTGGCAGGTGAGTGGTCAGGGGTGTGTAATGCCCAACGCGCCCCCACCTGGCTGATAACACTCCGGGTGGGACTCTGCCTTTCAACGGGCCTCGAAGTCACGTAGGTGCTTTTGAAAATATCCTTTTGTGTTCAAGCCGAGGGTCCCCCAGCCCTTTACAAACGCCGGGACTATTATCCCCAGCGTACCAAGGGGAAATGGAGGCACAGAAGTGGCTTCTCCAAGATCCCAAAGGAGCCTTTGGAAGGGCAGGGAGCAGGACCTAAAAGTCCTGACCACCCGACCCCTGTTTTAGCCACTGAGCTTTGCTAATTTCTGGTTTGGTCACAGCTCACTTGGGTCTTTGTTTCTGACAGTTGCCAGCGCGCAGCCAACCCTGACTCAGCCTGCCTCAGAGTCAGTGCCCCCAGGAGGCACCATCAAACTCTCCTGCACTATGAGTAGTGGAACGAGCATCAGTGGCTACTACATTCGCTGGTTTCAGCAAACAGCCGGGACCCCTCCGAGATATCTGCTGTCTTACAAAGACGAATCTAGCAAGCACCAGGGCTCTGGGGTCCCTGCTCGGTTCTCTGCTTCCAAAGACACCTCCAGCAACATTTGCTATTTAACCATCATGGGGATCCAAGCAGAGGATGATGCTGATTATTACTGTGCCACATGGGATGAGAGTAGTAAAACTTATCACAGTGATACAGTGAGATAGAGAACTGAGACCAAAACTCTGCATCACAGCCTGTCTGCCTGTGTCCATGTGAGGGTCAGACCATGAACTCTCTAGAGACACCGTCACAGACAATAGAGAGAGAGACTCGCTGACAAAGATAGAGAGATGCCTTTGATCATTCGTTGGGGATTCACTGTCCCCTGCACCCAGGCACTGTCTGCCTGCCTGCCCATGTTGATCTCCACATTGCCCCTTCTCTTGCAAACCCTGTTGAGTGAGGGGCTGGTAGATGGTGACCCAGGTTGGTTCGTACTGCTGGGGATATGTGAGTTGGAACTCAACTCTTTACAGAAAGCGTATCTGAGAGTGCAGTCAGTGAGTGGGGGAAGGGAATCTTTCGCATGTGGCTACAATCTAGTGCACCCGTGGGTGCTACGAAATGACAGCTAAATCATTACAAATCACCGCAAGGACCCACAAGCCACAGAGAAGCCAATTTAAAAATGCCCCTACACCTCAGCGATCTCCTCTCATAGCCTCTCAGAAACCTGGTGCCCTGTCTATACAGCTCTCCCCGCATGCCCCATGTTCTGTGTTTCAGACCTTGTTATAACTATAATCCAAGCTTCGGCAAGTATGCAAAGGACATTTTAATACTATTTTTAATGAATGTTTTGTTATTTTTAATAAGAACATGAGATCATTGAGCCCAGGATCCTGTCTTCTGACAGTGGCCAGTGCCAGAAGCTTAACGGGAAATGAACAGAACAGGAGGAATATCGAGTGATCTCTCCCCTGCCGTCTAGATTCAGGTTCTGGCAGTCAGAGGTTTAGGGGCACCCGGAGCATGGGGTGGAATCCCTGTCTGTCTTAGCTAAGAGGCATTGATGGACCTTGCCTCCATGAACTGATCTAAATTCTTGTTTGAACCCAATTTATCCTTTTGGCTTTCACAACATCCCCTGGCAATGAGTTCCACAGGTTGATCTCTATCAGATCTCCCCTTAGTCGTCTCTTTTTGAAGCTGAACAGTCCCAGTCTTCTTGCAAAAGCTGTTCCATACCCCTCAGCATTTTTGTTGCCCTTCTCTGCACCTTGTCCAACTCTAATATAGGTTTTTTTTCTAGCTGGAGTGAAGTAGTTATACTGACATAAATTGGTACTTCAGACCAAGCCTAAAACCAGCACGATCCATCTCATCCAGCAAACCTGCCAGCCGTGAAGGGCCCAATATCCCTAAAGTACCGACAGCAGGAGACTGTAAGACAATAATTGCAGCCAAGGGCTCTTTTAAAATTCTGGAACTAGCTAAAGATCCAAGGCAGCGAGGACGAGGGGAGAGGAGTCTTGGCCATGTCTGTGTTTGGGGTGGGCGGGGGCAGCCTCAATCCAGATCCAGCCATGAGGAATTCTGTGCAAATCCAGTATATTAATAGTCTGATTGGGAAGCACAAACCCTTTGGACCTACGGAGACCTTGATTTCCTTATGACAGTTTTAACCCCCAGCTTCAAAGCCTGGGAGGGATCAATGTGAACACTTCGCTGGACAGCTCCACTCTCCTCTCCTCCCTGGAATGTGAGCCCCAAAGCCTTTTCCTCCCGAACGCGGATGGGATGACACTGGAGCAGAAAGAGGAATCCAGGACAGTGATTTGTATCCTGGCCTCCCTATAGGTGGCTGTAGAGCACAATACCCCAAGAGAGCTTACTGCTGGGGAGAGTGGGCTGAGCAGAGGGGGATTTAGCAGGGGCAAAAACATGTAGAGGGTTGAGAGAACTGGGGCTGGAGGGGACAGAGGCTCGAGTGGAGCGGGGAGGCTGAGAGAGCTCAGGGATGTTGTCCTTTATGTTTCCTTCATACTTCACCTTACATTGGGATCAGCCAGTTCCCCATTTGTGTTCGTCAAGTACCTTACTTCTCCTTCATACAGCTGCCGACAACCCACGGCTTCAGTGAAACATTCCAGCTGTAAAACCCACCCAGCACTGTGTGTTTGTCCTGTTTCACCTTTGCTCTCTTGCACTGCCTCGTGCCTCCCAGCTGTAGCCTGTCTGGGGCAGGGCTGTGTTCTTTGTTTGCTAGATATCACTATTGTCTGACGTCAGGTACACCAGCAGCACTGTGTGAACAAAACTAATAATACTTTAGTATGTGTATAATTATATTTCCTGCCTGCCCTTTCTTTGCCCATCCCCTATGTTTTTCTGCTGAAACAAAACATGAAAAGGGCCACTTTTCCCTGTATGGCCTTTGTTTGTGCACATGCAATGTATCACGCACCATCATTTGGACTCATATTTATGAACACTGTCACTTACACACACAAGTGATTGCATTTCCTCATGTATGTCCAAATATTAAAAAAACTGGGTTTGCAGAGATCATGCACAAAGCTAGTGAGCACACACAGAAACTGGACAGAGTCCATTTTAATCTGGCCATTGAGAAAACAAAATCAGAAGAAGTTCTGTGAAGCACATTACTTAATTTGCATCCAATACTAAGCACAAGGCAGCAGGAACTAAGTCACTTACATCTCAACAGCTGGACTCTCCCTGGGGAACCTCTGTGGTCTGAGGAAGGTAAACTTGTGCAGGCCGATCAATGCACAAATGGGCCAGGTGCACAAACAGGAAAGTGCAGTGAAGAAGGGAAAGAAAATACTGTTTCCGATCTCTAGATGGGGCGATTGTATTAGTCTGGTGGCCAAGACCGCAAAAACTAGTTGAGGGAGAAGTGATGAAATTCTCTGTCAGAGCTGCAGGCTGGACTAGGGCTCAACATGGGTTTTCTCGGGTTGGTTGGGTTCTTTAGTACACACCTGGGTTGGGCTTTGGAAGACAATTCCATAGTTCAGCTTTTCCCTTTTCTCCCATGCAAATCCTCTTACTGCTGGGGAAATAAGGGCCAGCAGAGTGATTAATCGGCAGAAAAAGTCAAATGTGCTAAATAATGATGACAAGATGTCTCTGAGCAGCAGGCCAGGTCAGAGAACACCACAGCTCATTTGCATTCTAGCTTTCCCCAGCCTGGCCCCCAGGGCTCATTTCCATGTGGCCTGCCCCTTACAGCTTAAAAGCTGCTACAGGATTTCACAAAGGCAGGAACCAGTTGAAACCCAAGGTCAGGGTTGGCTCCTTCTCTCCCTCTGTCCATCTCCTCCCTGCGCCATGGCCCTGTGCGCTCTGCCTCTCTGTCTCCTGGGGCTGTTCCTGGCAGGTAATTCCCCACCAGGATGACTTTTGGGGGGCAGGTAATTGAGGTAATTAGGGGTTTAGCACAAGTCGTGCAGCACTAACAGATCTGAGTTTTGTCTCTGGTAGGTTCTTGTGCCCAGCACGTGGTGACGCAGCCGCCCTCAATGTCAGGGTCTCCAGGGCAGACAGTGAAACTCTCGTCAGTGGAGGATACGACATCAGTAGCTATGGAGTGAGGTGGTACCAACAGACCCCCGGGAATCCTCCCAGATACCTGCTCTATTATTTCAGTGATTCTAGCACAGACAGGGGCTCTGGGATCCCAGACCGGTTCTCTGGCTCTGCCTCTGGCAGTGTTGGCTACTTAACCATCTCTGGGCTCCAAGCCGAGGATGACGCTGATTATTACTGTGCGACTTGGGACGACAGCGCTGAGATGCTCACAGTGGTGTAATCAGAGAGGGAACTGAGACAAAACCCTTTCAGATTTCACTGCCCAACACTGAGCGAGACTCTGGTGAAGAGTTTTGACGCTAGCAGGGCAGAGCTGAGGCCAGAGAGAGGTTCCAAGGCCGTGTTGTACCCGGTCTTTGTTTAAAGGATTTCTTTTCCCTCACACTACATCCTCCTCCTCCTAGACTAATCTCCTGGCACTGCATGGCGGGGGCGGGGTGGCTGTTCGCAGATTGGCAGCTCTGGGATCCTCTGCACAGGCTGAGGACTGTCATGTTCTCTACACCCTCCCCATCTCCTACTACACGAGCCACATGTTCCCATCTGCTCCTCCACCCCCTGCACTTCTAGAAGTGACCCAGGCGTGTCTGAAGCTGATACCTGCCACAGGAGAGCTGTGAAATCACGTGTGTGGGTGGAGGTCTGGTGCCAGTGAGCCCATCAGTGACAGGATGGGTTTGGGAGCCAGGATCTGAATAGCCCAATCTCACACAGAGTGAACCCAGTCACTTGGATTCCGTACTATCCTGAGGGCCCAGAGGGGCCTGATCCAAGATGGCCGCTACTCTGTGTTCCAGTCTCCACCAGAGACTAAATCCAGCGTCATCCATCTCATCCAATGAATGTGTCAGCAGGGAATGGCCCAATATCCCTAGAGTACTGAGAGCAGGAGACTCTGAGAGAATAACTCCAGCCAAGGGCTCTTTATACCAGTTGGAAATAGCAAAAATCCAAGGCAGTGGAGGACGGGGAGAGGAGTCTTGGCCATGTGTGTGTGATGGGGGGTGGGTGCAACGTCAGTCCAGATCCATCCGTGTGGAATTCGGTGTAAATCCATTATCTGAATGGTATCACGGGGCTCCTCACACCCTCCTGTAGCGACGGTTTGCACGTGAGCACTTGGCTGGGCAGCTCCGCTCTCCCCTCATCCCTGCAATGTGAGCCCCAAAGCCTTTTGCTCCCTAAAACGAATAGGGTGACACGGGGCAAGAAGAGGAGGCAGGACAGGTAGATGAACTGGAACTCAGTGATCTGTAGCCTGGCCTCCCTAGAGGTGGCTGCAGAGCACAATGCACCGTCTCCCTGCTCCCCTAGCCCAGCCATGGCAGAGCAGACACCAGTCCAGCAGTGATACATCGCTGTGTGCAGGATTTACACACTGTCAAATCAGGGTCACAGAGCAAGTGCAGCGTGGGGCCATGGGCCCAGTAGCTGTGAGGCAGCACATGGGGCAGTTGGTATCTCCCCAAATGGAGGTAGAGTCCAAAGCCATCAGGGCAGCAGTCCAGGCAGATGAGAAGGGTGCTCCCTTGCCCCTGTTCCCCTTGAAATCACCATCCCCTGATTCCCTAACACACTCTGCACATATATTGCAGTCTGAGCACGT